TACAGCAGCTAGAAATACGGTTGGAGTTGAGATTGCAGCCTTCGCAAGGTTTGCAAGAAATGGGAGGTAGTGGGTAGCGGTAGGATATAGAAGTGTCAATATTGTGTTGCCAGTGTGTTATAGATAAAATGCATCAGGAAGTAGGATTGATTTTCCATTCACGTGACTTCTGACCTAAATTCGGAATCGGAATCGTGCACCTACTTACATTAATTTTCATTCAACTAATTCATTAAATTTAATTTCAGTACACGTAATTATGTTGTTAAAATAATAAAAGAGTAAAGTCCATATTAAATTCTAGTAGAACTCAAATGCAAATTTCACCCGCATATGACCTGCATAGTAGATTTCACTTGATTATAAAAAAATTTTTTTTTATCGCATTTATAAATTAATGTTTATTATAAATTCGGTATTAAACAAATAAATCAGACAAATCTAATAAATTAAATTGATTAATCAGCAGTGTTAAAATAATCAAGTGAGAACTAAGAAAAGCTTTATTAAGTATTAAATCAATTTCTTTTAAATGGGTTAAAGAATGATTATAAACTTCATAATTTAGAAATAATTAAATAAATTAAAATAATAAATGTAAATGAACCAGAAATTAATATGCGAATAAAGAAAATCCATTAATTCTGTTCTATACAAATTTTAATGTGAAATTTCTGTTCAATATGTCTTCTATTTACTGTATCTAGTAAATACAATAGCAATTAAATAAATTACTAACATTACCTTGAGATTCAGACTGTTATCTAAAACCACGTAGTATGCATAAGTTTTTCAGTTTAATTATTATAATACACAAATCTTATTTTTAATTAAACTCACTGTTACTTGATGTATTTGAATCGACTTCATGATATAAAAGCCCTAAAAAATGAAGCCGCTGATTAATAAATTAGAAAAAGATCCTAATTATAACTACTTATCGACTCATCAAAAAAAATTCACTTTAAAATTCATTTCAATATTTGATAATTAGTTCACTTTTAACAAAATAAAAGATTGAGATTAGTTATCAAGTCTTTTTGTTTTTTTGTAATTGTTAACTTTCAAAATACAAAAATAACACAACCTCTCAATATTATACTACAATGCCTTTCTGCACTTCTTGTTCGCGTACTCTTTCTTCTGCTGAATTCATATATGAAGGCAAAAGCTATAAAACTTGTGCTAGATGTATGACTAACAAAGCTATCAAAAAAGATAATTTAGATGAAAAAACCATAATCGAAGCAATTTCTATTCAAAATATTAGTGATTATATCACTAATGCGATAGCAGATTTAGAACATTGTTCAGAACTTTCTCTTGTCTTTCGTATTCAGTTTGATGAGATTACACTTGGTATTGTAGGTACAGATGTCAAAGCAATGACTATATTAATAATCGATGAAATTGAGAATGGTGATGGATATAATTGGACTGCCACAACTGCACCAAATCTTTCATCCCGTTATATTGGTATTGGAAATGCATATTATACATGTTCCCAAAGTTATGAGCTTGAGCGTGAATATAAAAACTCAAGCAGAAAAAGAATTTCTCGATTTAATTGTAATGGTAAAATATTGATCAAAATTGATATCCCAGCAGCAGAAGCTAAAGTAATTTTAAAGCACGAAATGATGCATAAGAAACCTGATGATATTGCAGTATCATTAGAAATAAAACAAGAAATTGAAAGAAATTTGAACCTAAGTCCAGTAGACTTACGAACTCACCTTTGTAGTAAAAATTTTGATATGTAAAAAATTACATATAAACAAATTTATTATTGGTGGTCGTATTATACATAATGGTTCTATAAAACTGATGAAAATCACATTATTTCTGCACAAAGGTTTTTTGAACAACAGAATGAAAATAATTGCAACTTATGTTTTCAACTTGAAACCGATAACATAATAGCTATTGGTTTTACCACGCATTTATTTTCAGTAACACAATATACAGAAGTACATTGTGATGCTACTTATAAAACTGCCAAAGGTCGATTCGAACTTTATGGAATTGTTGGTAATGTAGAAGGTGCAGGTTAGCGATTTATTTTTTTATATAAAAAATATTAAATAAATGTAAAATTAGATATTAAATATTTTGTTTAGCATATTAATAAAATTATCACGATAAATTTATGAAATTTGAGTATTTAACTAAACTATAAAGTGCATTATTTATTATGAATTCATATAGATAACATCTAATCTATCTTTTTATAAAAAGATGAGTTAGATGTTATTTATAAGATTTTACAATAATAACAAATAGTAAATGATGCACTTTATAGTTTAGTCAAATACTCAAATTTCATAAATTTGCTGCAATATGTAAAATACTAATATTTTTTTATATGATATATCTCATAATATTCTATAATTAAGGTTTTCCATTAGTATATTTAATTTTAGATACAACGAAAACTAATAATTTGAATCAAGAAGGGTTATGTACCGAAGCTCTTACAGGTTTTTTCTTTGCTCTTCATAATAGTGGCCTAGATCCAATTTATTTTTACACAGACAAAGATTTTGCAGAGATCAATGCTGCAAAAGAAGCATGGCCTATGACTAATATACAGCTTTGTCTATGGCATATCGAAAAGGCAATTAAGAAAAAACTTAGAAGTTGTAAAAAAATTGAACGCATAAATTATAAACATGAAGAAGTTGCAAAAGAATTTTCCTTTGTCGACCCTTCTTTTATACCAGATTTACAATGCAAAGATAATGAATATTATATTGTTTGTCCACCTAATTTTCGTGAAAATGTTGTTAATATAGTTAGAATCCATTTTCATTTACATCCTAAAATTCCCATCAATGCTAATGGACAATTTTTGTCATCTAATGAAATAAAAACCAAAGCAATTTTAGAAATATATGAATTTTGCAAAGTAAATAATCTGGTAATACTCTGGACTTACTTATGGTCTTTTTGGTATAAACCTACAAGGTGGTGTCTCTAGACACGGTCTACTCAACCAACGATACCACTTGGTAAAACCAATATGAAAATTGAAGCATATTGGCGTGTTTTAAAACATTGTTACCTTCATCATTTTAGTTGTCCGCGCCTTGACAATCTCATATGGATAATTAATTCTCGTGTTGTACCTGACCAAACTAATCAGCTTCAACAATTGTTACTTAATAGAGTGGTACCATCATGGTTTGATGAATTCAGGAAACAGTGGAACAATTGTCTAGCAAAACCACTCAGTAATATTGAAGGTCG